AACAACAACAACCACAACAACAACCACAACAACAACCACAACAACAACCACAACAACAACCACAACAACAACCACAACAACCACAACAACAACCACAACAACAACCACAACAACCACAACAACCACAACAACAACAACAACCACAACAACCACAACAACAACAACAACAACAACCACAACAACAACAACAACAACAACAACAACAACAACAACAACAACAACAACAACAACAGCAGCAGCAACAGCAGCAGCAACAACAACAACAACAACAACAACAACAACAACAACAACAACAACAACAACAACAACAACAACAACAACAACAACAACAACAACAACAACAACAACAACAACAACAACAACAACAACAACAACAACAACAACAACAACAACTTATTAGAGCATATGCAGCTCAGACAATTTTTGGAGGTTTTCACTTGCATGATGTACGTTTCCTCCATCTTGTACGATCTGCATAGTCTTAATATACTGTTGTGAATGATCTGAATTTATTGAATTTATTGAAAACGTAGTTTAGGTTTAATTTTCCTACAATATGGTTCCCTTCAGCTGCATCTCCTCGTCCATGGTATTTAGTAAGGCTATAGTCAGCTTCAATAAATAAACTAAAAGATTTCGTATGAAAAATAGAAACTTAGTTACGAAATTTGGGAGTAGTATGCAACATTTATTAGGGATGCCTTCATTTGCCAAGCCTGGGAACGACTTAACATTATTATGGCATATTGAGATCATGCCAATATTGTTCCCTTGCCGTCGCTAAGCCGCACAGTAAACTAACTTTTTTTCTCAAATTGTAGAGGAAAGCCTTCAATGGAGCATGTCTTTTTTTCAGAAAACTTGGCACTAGTTGTTGTATAAGATCTTTCCTATACGTAATAAGCTATATAACACTGCATGTTTTTTTTCCTACTTATCTGCGATTATCTCCAACTCACTGCGTTAATCCGGGAATTAGCTGGGAGAAAAAAAGATGATTTATCGTTTGAAATTCCCCGACTGTTTATAATAAGACATATTACACAGAGTGACGAACGTCATACGCCCACATGTGCTGCTAATAAAAAAGGAAATTCCTATAAAAGTTAACCAGAAAAATCTGATTGTTATTTGACAAGTAACTGCATTCAACCGTTTCTTAGTTTTGGCGATACACTAATTATATAATTACTATGATTTTCATCATAATTATAGGATCAAACTACCTGAAAATTTAACAAGAGCTTCGAGATTTCGGGTGAAGCCAGATATGATTGTTTCAACCGTTGTATAAAAATACTTAAAGTGTCTATATGACACGAAATTTCACCCCAAATGTTTATTTTTACATTGTAAAGATCACTTAAAATGACTTAATAATTTCTTTTATAGAATTGTGGTAAAAATTGGCCTTCTATATTAATACATATAGAAGGCCAATTTTTAAGTTTTTTAGATACGTATTCGTCAAGAAAACTATACTTTTCTGAAAACTCATTATGCGATGTGATGTCACACCGGTGATATTTGCATATGAAACAAAGTTGAATATCTTGAAAAGGGAGCAAGTTACCACAATTCTATAAAAGAAATTATTAAGTCATTTTAAGTGAACTTTACAATGCAACCATAAACCTTTGGGGTGAAATTTCGTGTCATATAGGCACTTTAAAAAAGCTATAAAATTACAGATGTACATGGACCTCACAATTAATAAAAGAAACTTTATGTACTATTTAAAAAACGAGCAGGAGTGTTTTATTAGGTTTAAAGCCACGAGCGCGCAGCGCGAGTGGCTTTAGACCTAATAAAACACGACCTGCGAGTTTTTTAAATGGCTTCAAAAACATTTGCATAATAAGTCAAATCTTTATATAAAAATCTTTATATAAAAATCTTTATATAAAAATCTTTATATAGTTTGCATAACAATGGTCTTTTGTTAAAGTGTTCTTTAGCTGGTATAAAGACGTATGCACGTGACTAATTTCTTACTCAAGATTGGATAATTGCTTCATGAATTATTAAGGAGTTTTTGAAATATATATAAATGCTATAAAATTCAATCTTGTTATAAAACAAATTGGTTACAATCACCAATTGGAAATGGTTGTCTCAGGTGCACTTATATGACCAATATTTTATTGAATAAAACATGTCAACCAAAATTGGATTATTTTAACCAATTTTTCGCTAGTTTTGACCAAATCATATTGGTCAAAGGAAAATGCATCGGAGTCGGAGACAACCAATTAAAATTGGTTATTTTAACCAAACCGTTTTTACAGGGTTATGCCCAGCAATCAACGAAGAATTTTAGGAATCTTGCAGAGTTAGTTAGGCTAGATATATATATATATATATATATATATATATATATATATATATATATATATATATATATATATATATATATATATATATATATATATATATATATATATATATATATATATATATATATATATATATATATATATATATATATAAAAATATAATATATATATATATATATATATATATATATATATATATATATATATATATATATATATATATATATATATATATATAACTACAGACGGTACCGTTTCGGCCTTTTGGGCCTCATCAGTGTAGTGCCAAAGATTAGATACTATAAAGATGTGTCACTCTGCGAAAATTATGTCCGAGATTTTTTTATAGCCGCCATTTTGTCAGTAAGTGTCAAATTCAACGCCATCAGTCTCTTAAATAGTAAAATTCAACGCCATCAGTCTCGCCGCCATTTTGACACGCAAACATTAGGGAAATACGTCGAGTGACACATCTTTATAGTATCTAATCTTTGATTTTGTTCACGATTTTGTTACTGATTACGTGATTGCATCATCATCAACCGTTCGCTGACGCGTTAACTTGTTTGTTCGCGCGCGTTCGAATTTCCCGGCGCTGAATTTTTCTCGATGGCGACATTTCGCGAAGAACTTGGATCTTTTGTTCAACAGATTGGTTTTATGTGATTTCATGATTTCTAATTTCTCTTCTAGCACAAATTACAACGCCTACCGCCAGGTGGATACGCTGCTGCTCGTTTCAAAATGGACCACTTAATACTGTATTCCCTTTTCTTGTCCTTCAAATCCCATACATATTTGGAAAGTTCTGTGTCAGACGAGTACGCAGGCTTATTAAACGACTTTTTGTGATTTCTGTATCTAACCTTGAACTCCGTGGAAGTCATTCCAATGTATTCTTTGGTCGTTCCATCATGGGGCGTTGTTATTTCTGCCTTATAAACTACGTTGCTGGTCAAACACTTTTCATTCAGTGGACACATGCATGCACGTTAGATTTCCTGCAGTCACATTCCGTTTGGGTTCAGGGACTGTAGAGGTTTTTGTTAGGAGGCGGTGGTTGTGGCGTGTTATGTTGCTCAGTTACATTGTCCATGCACGAGTAACTGACTTTGATATTGTTCCTATTGAAGATCTTGTGGAGTGGGTTTTTGGGTGGAAAATGCTTGTCGATGAGTTGAAGGAAAGTTTGAGCGACATTTGTTCTGACTGTTTTGCTGAATGGGGGGTTGAACCAGATGATGTTCCCACGGCGTTTTCTAGACGGTGAGCTTGTGGAATTATTATCGGTCGAATATTGCAACCTGACATCATAATTGCTATGTTTGAGCGCATTCTGGTAGGGAGGTGCAGCAGAATTAAAAGTTGATTGGTCAGCAGATAGTGCATGAGGAGATACGTTTGTTAATGGATGTAGGGATATGATTGATTATGGAAGGTGGATGATTAGAGCAACTGTTGACGTAAAGTGGCTTGCTGTTCGGCTTTCTATAAGGTGAAAATGTCCCACTTTTCAGGTCTATCAAAATTATCTTGGACGACATAAATGCTAGAATAAACTCTACAATAAAAGTTAACCAGTGGAAAAATTCTCATTCTGTTATTGACTGGTTTCAATCTGTGAACAACAAATCAAACCACATGTTTCTTTCATTCGACATCGTTGAATTTTATCCTTCAATAACAGAAGATCTTCTCGACAAAGTCATTGCCTGGGCCAAGACCATCATACCCATTCCTGATAATCACATATCTATCATCAAACATGCTCGAAAGTCCTTGCTTTTCAACCAAGAAACACCATGGGTTAAGCGAAACAACGACACAATGTTTGATGTTACAATGGGCAGCTTTGACGGCGCGGAAATATGCAATCTGGTCGGTCTTTTTATCTTAAATAAGCTGGCAGCCAAATTTGGAAATGAATCTGTTGGATTGTATCTGGATGACGGTTTAGCTCTGTTAAAGGGCAGAAGCGCCAGAGCGGGTGACAAAGCAAGAAAGGAGTTACATGCTTTATTTAATGATCTCGGGTTGAAAATAACTGCGGACGTCAACCATCATATTGTCAACTTCTTAGACGTAACGCTAGACCTGAAAAGTGGGACATTTTCACCTTATAGAAAACCGAACAGCAAGCCACTTTACGTAAACAGTTGCTCAATCATCCACCTTCCATAATCAATCGTATCCCTACATCCATTAACAAAAGTATCTCCTCACTATCTGCTGACCAATCAACTTTTAATTCTGCTGCACCTCCCTACCAGAATGCGCTCAAACATAGCAATTATGATGTCAGGTTGCAATATTCGACCGATAATAATTCCACAAGCTCACCGTCTAGAAAACGCCGTAGGAACATCATCTCAGCAAAACAGTCAGAACAAATGTCGCTCAAACTTTCCTTCAACTCATCGACAAGCATTTTCCACCCAAAAACCCACTCCACAAGATCTTCAATAGGAACAATATCAAAGTCAGTTACTCGTGCATGCATGGACAATGTAAAGAGCAACATAACACGCCACAACCACCGCCTCCTAACAAAAACCTCTACAGTCCCTGAACCCAAAGAATGTGACTGCAGGAAATCTAACGTGCATGTGTCCACTGAATGAAAAGTGTTTGACCAGCAACGTAGTCTATAAGGCAGAAATAACAACGCCCCATGATGGAACGACCAAAGAATACATTGGAATGACTTCCACGGAGTTCAAGGTTAGATACAGAAATCACAAAAAGTCGTTTAATAAGCCTGCGTACTCGTCTGACACAGAACTTTCCAAATACGAATGGGATTTGAAGGACAAGAAAAGGGAATACAGTATTAAGTGGTCCATTTTGAAACGAGCAGCAGCGTATGCACCTGGCGGTAGGCGTTGTAATTTGTGCATAGAAGAGAAATTAGAAATCATGAAATCACATAAAACCAATCTGTTGAACAAAAGATCCGAGTTCTTCGCGAAATGTCGCCATCGAGAAAAATTCAGCGCCGGGAAATTCGACCGCGCGCGAACAAACAAGTTAACGCGTCAGCGAACGGTTGATGATGATGCA